CAGAGCCTCGTTTTTGTTTTGTGTGGATTTGGGGCCAGGTCGAGAAAGCGGACCAGGGTCCAGGTCAGGGGGTGCGGTTTTTATATCTCGCTGCCGAAGTTGTGCAACGCCCGTGGGGGGTTTTGTGTGCATTCGGGCAAACATCACATAGTCCTCAGTGACCGCGATCCCGCCTCTGGTAAGCTTTGGGCCCAGGTTGCCCAAATTTACCCCGGCGTATGACCTCGACCTTTGCCGCGGCCATTATGAACTCCGTCCAAGGCCTCCACATGGCCCGCCTTCAGCAGCTTATATAGGTAATTATAGCCGCAGTGCAGTATCCCCAAACAGGGTTTTTAGACCCACTGCGGTTTCCAAGGTCGATCGTGTGCCCGTCCAGTGCGGGCTGGCATGGCATGTTAAAACATGTCTCCTCCTCCTCCTCCTCCTCCTCCTCCACTTCCTCTTCATCCCGTACGGCATCTCGGAGCCCAGAGTTGCGAGGATGTCTCCAGCGTAACGGGCTGGACCACCTCGCGCGCGGCATTTCGGACCCCAGAGTTGCGACGATGTGTCGGGCGAAACGTGCTGCGAGGAAGTCTCAGGCGAAACGGGCCGGACCACCTCGAGCGCGGCGTCTCAGAGCTCCGAGTTGCGGGGGCCTCCTGCCTCCTGGGACCTCCTGGTGACCTCCTGGGGCTTCCTCCTGGGCCTCCTGTGGCCTCCTGGACCCCACCTGGGGCTTCCTGAAGCCTCTTGGGGCTCCCAGGGGGATATCTAACATGTGGCCGTCGGGGCCCCCCCAAATGGGGGGGCCACAAGAGCAGGAAAAATCAACGAATCGACACTGGATTTGTATTAACTTGACACGTTCTGATAGGGCCTCCTGGGGCCTCCTGGGGCCTCCTGGGAATCTCCTGCGGACCCCTGGGGCCTGTCCTGGGCGTCCTGTGGCCTCCTGGAGCTCTCTGGGGCTCCCAGGGTCCCAGGGGGGATATGTAACATGGTGGTCTTCTGGGCTCCAGGCTGGACCACCTCTTGCGCAGCATCTGAGAGCTCAGAGTTGCGAGAATGTCTTGTGCGAAACGGGCCGGACCACCTTGCGCACATCATCTCAAAGCTCAGAGTTGCGAGGATGTCTCAGGCGAGATGGGCCGGACCACCTCGCGCAGGGCATCTCGGAGCCCAGAGTTGCGAGGATGTCTCCAGCGTAACGGGCTGGACCACCTCGCGCGCGGCATCTCGGACCCCAGAGTTGCGACGATGTGTTGGGCGAAATGTGCTGCGAGGAAGTCTCCGGCGAAACGGGCCGGACCACCTCGCGCAAGGCATCTCAGAGCTCAGAATTGCGAGGATGTCTCAGGCGAGATGGGCCGGACCACCTCGCGCAGGGCATCTCGGAGCCCAGAGTTGCGAGGATGTCTCCAGCGTAACGGGCTGGACCACCTCGCGCGCGGCATCTCGGACCCCAGAGTTGCGACGATGTCTCGGGCGAAACGTGCTGCGAGGAAGTCTCAGGCGAAACGGGCCGGACCATCTCGAGCGCGGCGTCTCAGAGCTCCGAGTTGCGGGGGCCTCCTGGGGCCTCCTGGGGCCTCCTGGTGACCTCCTGGGGCTTCCTCCTGGGCCCCCTGTGGCCTCCTGGACCCCACCTGGGGCTTCCTGAAGCCTCTTGGGGCTCCCAGGGGGATATCTAACATGTGGCCGTCGCCCCCCCAAATGGGGAGGGCCACAAGAGCAGGAAAAATCAACGAATCGACACCGGATTTGTATTAACTTGACACTTTCTGATAGGGGGCCTCCTGGGGCCTCCTGGGAGCCTCCTGGGAATCTCCTGCGGACCCCTGGGGCCTGTCCTGGGCGTCATGCGGCTTCCTGAAGCTCTCTGGGGCCTCCTGGGGCTCCCAGGGTCCCAGGGGGGATGTGTAACATGTAGTCTTCTGGCCCCCCAGGCTGGACCACCTCTTGCGCGGCATCTGGGAGCTCAGATTTGCGAGAATGTCTTGTGCGAAACGGGCCGGACCACCTCGCGCAGGGCATCTCAGAGTTGCAAGGATGTCTCAGGCGAGACGGGCCGGTGTCTTGGGCGAAACGTGCTGCGAGGAAGTCTCAGGCGAAACGGGCCGGACCACCTCGAGCGCGGCGTCTCAGAGCTCCGAGTTGCGGGGGCCTCCTGGTGCCTCCTGGGACCTCCTGGTGACCTCCTGGGGCTTCCTCCTGGGCCTCCTGTGGCCTCCTGGACCCCACCTGGGGCTTCCTGAAGCCTCTTGGGTCTCCAAGGGGGGATATCTAACCTGTGGCCGCTTGGGCCCCTCAAATTAAAGGGGGGGGCCACAAGAGCAGGAAAAATCAACGAATCGACACCGGATGTGGATTAACTTGACACGTTCTGATAGGGGGCCTCCTGGGAGCCTCCTGGGAATCTCCTGCAGACCCCTGGGGCCTGTCCTGGGCGTCCTGCGGCCTCCTGGAGCTCTCTGGGGCCTCCTGGGGCTCCCAGGGTCCCAAGGAGGATATGTAACATGTGGTCTTCTGGGCCCCCAGGCTGGACCACCTCTTGCGCGGCATCTGGGAGCTGAGAGTTGCGAGAATGTCTTGTGCGACACAGGCCGGACCACCTTGCGCACGGCATCTCAGAGCTCAGAGTTGCGAGGATGTCTCAGGCGAGACGGGCCGGACCACCTCGCGCAAGGCATCTCAGAGCTCAGAAGTTTGCGGATGTCTCAGGCGAAACGGGCCAGACCACCTCTCGCGCGGCATCTCCGAGGTTAGAGTTTCGAGGATGTCTCAGGCGAAACGGGCCGGACCACCTCGCGCAAGGCATCTCAGAGCTCAGAGTTTCGAGGATGTCTCAGGCGAAACGGCCCAGACCACCTCTCGCACGGCACCTCGGGGCTCAGAGGATGTCTCAAGCGAAACGGCCCGGACCACCTCTCGCGCGGCGTCCCGGAGCGCAACTTTTCGAGGATGTCTCAGGCGAAACGGCCAATCCCGGCCAACTCAGAAACGAGAGTTGTGAGGATGTCTCAAGCGAAACGGCCTGGACCATCAAATTTTTGTGAGGATGTCTCTGCTCCGACTTCCCTCGGCCGGAGTTAGTTTCTATCACAACAGCACCCCGTTCAGCAAGCTGTTTGGGGAACAAGCGTGTCGGCCATTTTGGCCAGAAGCCATCCTGGGACTTGGGTCCCTTCCTTCCCTCCGATCCTGGTCGGTGGTGGTGTCCTCCTGCCTGGTCCCTTTCCTCCTCCGCTGCCGGCGTCTCCTGGGCACGAGCCGGTCCATCGTTGGTACAGTTGCCTGGCCTGCGAACACAAAATCGTTCTCTGGCTTGGGTGGAGCGTAGGATGGTCGTTCTCCGAACTCTAATCCTGAAGCAGAATGAGAGCCGCCAGATGCGTTCGCATGATTCCCAGTGTCGTGTCCTACAACAGTTGGCAATCTGCATGTATCTGCTCCGAAGCCTTTTCTCTCGCCCTCCCTCTCTTCCCTTTTCTTCCTTCCCTCCGCTCCTGGTCGGTGGTGGTGTCCTCCTGCCTGGTCCCTTTCCTCCTCCGCTGCCGGCGTCTCCTGGGCACGAGCCGGTCCATCGTTGGTACAGTTGCCTGGCCTGCGAACACAAAATCGTTCTCTGGCTTGGGTGGAGCGTAGGATGGTCGTTCTCCGAACTCTAATCCTGAAGCAGAATGAGAGCCGCCAGATGCGTTCGCTTGATTCCCAGTGTCGTGTCCTACAACAGTTGGCAATCTGCATGTATCTGCTCCGAAGCCTTTTCTCTCGCCCTCCCTCTCTTCCCTTTTCTTCCTTCCCTCCGCTCCTGGCCGGTGGTGGTGTCCTCCTGCCTGGTCCCTTTCCTCCTCCGCTGCCGGCGTCTCCTGGGCACGAGCCGGTCCATCGTTGGTACTGTTGCTTGGCCTGCGAGCACAAAGTCGTTCTCTGGCTTGGGTGGAGCGTAGGACGATGATGATGATGATTATGATTATGATGATGATGATGATGATGATGATGATGATGATGATGATGATGATGATGATGATGATGATGATTATGATGATGGTTACGACTACGATCGTGATGGTGATGATGATGATGATGATTGTGATGATGATGATTGTGATGGTGATGATGGTGATGGGGATGGCGATGGTGATAATGATAAAACTGACGACGACGATGCTGATGCTGCTGGTGGTGCGGATGATGATGATGATGATGATGATGATGATGATGATGATGATGATGATGATGGTGGTGATCATGATGACGATGCTGATGATGGTGACGTTGCCGATGATGATGGTGATCATGCTGCTGGTGATGATGCTGGTGGTGATGATAACGATGGTGATGATAAAGGGGTGGATCATGGTGGTGATGATGGAAAACCATCATGGGGGTGAGGGTGGTGGTGAGGGTGATGATGCTGATGGTGATGATGACGATGATGATGGTGATGCTGATGATGATTATGATGGTGCTGATGATGATGCTGATGCTGATGCTGATGCTGATGATGATGATGGTGGTGGTGATGGTGGCAGTGGTGATGATGCTGATGCTGATGACGTTGATGATGGCGATGGCGATGGTGTTGATGCTGATGATGATGATGATGACGATGATGGTGGTGATGATGATGATGGTGATGGCGATAACGATGAGGAGGGTATTGTTAATGATGGTGATGACGATGATGATGATGATGATGATGATGATGATGATGATGATGATGATGATGATGATGCTGATGCTGATGCTGATGCTGATGGTGATGGTGATGATGATGATAATACGGAGGCGGAGCAGGAGGAGAAGAGAAGGAGGAGGAGAGAAGGAGGAGGAGGAGGAGGAGGAGGAGGAGGAGGAGGAGGAGGAGGAGCTGCCGGAACAGCAGCAGCAGCAGCACCACCACCACCCTCACCAGCACGAGCACAGGCACCAACGGGAGCGGGAGGGAGCAGGGCGAGGAGGATGGGCCATGCAGTGGACTGGCAGCAGCGGGAGCGGCACCGAGGAGCTAGAAGGAAACGCACGCTTGCGGCCACCGGCGAACGGCTCCTGGCTCGAGCTGCCGCGGTCCTCCCCCTGCTGGCCAGGAGCCGGGCGAAGACAACTACATGCACCGGCAACCGTCCCGGCCAGGCCCGTCCTGGGCCCTGGGTCGGTGCATATATCAGAGCGTGAATTACCTACCCCGCTTTCGCTTCCAGGCAAAACCAATTCATACCACGCGCCTCCTCGTCAAGCGGCCTGACCAGTACAGGCCGCAGTTTGGCATCGCTTGGTATCTCTTGGAAGCGAGGGTGGTCAAAGGCGAGGTAGGTTTGTTTGCCCCCTAATATATGCCGCCCTGGGTCCGGGGCTGGCCCGGCCAGAGCCGGTGCCGATCCCAGACACGCGGCGCCTTGTTTTTTTCAATGCGGTGCCCTTGGAAGTCCCGACTCCTTCGCCAGGACCGGCTTCTCGTGCCGTCCCCCTGGGGCCCAGCGAGGGCCCGGGGCCCTGGGGGCCAGCAGCGGCCAAACGCCCTCCCGTCGCGACTTTTGTTCTACGGCGCGAGCATGTCTGGGATGAAAGAGCTGGCGCCGCCCTGAGGTCGCGCGTTGCGTAACGGAGGGGCGATAAGTTCGGAAGGTGCCCTTCCGAACTCAGGGGCGAAAGGGCGACACGTTCCCCAAAGGGGCCCTATAGGGGCCCAGAAGGGGCCCAAAAGGGGCACGGCAGCTGCACGTTTCTCCACCCCTGAGGAGAGTCGGCGCCCTGAGGAGAGTCGGCGCCCTGAGGAGAGTCGGCGCCTGGGCGCCGCCCACAGGAGAGTCGGCGCACGGGTCGCTGGCCCCACGCCGGGCGGGCCGTCGATGTCGGGCGCAGGCCGCGAGGCCGCATCCGGCGCCGGCTCGCTCCGCTCGGCCGTCCTCGGCGCGGGGGCGGCGCCAGGCCACGACGGCGGCGGGGCGGCCGAGGAGGAGCTGCTCGGCGGCGTGCGGGAGCTGATGGCGGGGCAGCGGCGGGTGCTGGAGCTGCTCGGCCAGATCGCGGCGGGCGAGCGGGGGCCGGGCCACTCGGGAGGTCGAGCAGGGGGTCGACGACAGGTTTGACTGAAGCCCAAGCTTGGTTCGTTCCGTAGAGCCTGCAGGGAATGCTCAGAGTGCTACGTAGGCCTCTGGAACACTCCGCGTAGTCTTCGTAGATTCGACGGGGGAGAACATGAACTTCGGGGTAGTCTGAGCAAGAAGCCAAAGCTAGAGAGCATTCTGCGCACTTCTTGCGGATTCGACGGGGCTGGTCAAGTTTGGGGCAAACCAACCCTGCAGTCGATCCCCTGCTCGACGAGGGGGGAAAATGGGTGCCTCGCTGCCGTCTCTCTCTGGGCCCGGGAGGCCCTCGCCGCCGCTGCCGGATTCGCATCTAAATTGTGGTCAGGACTCCTCCTCCTCCTCCTCCTCCTCCTCCTCCTCCTCCTCCTCCTCCTCCTCCTCCTCCTCCTGTCCCCCCGAGGCACGCCGCCCGACGGGGAGGCCGCCGAGGCGCAGCAGCCTCCGCGCTGGGGGCGGTCCGCCAGCAGGCGCGTCAAGAGCGAGCCCACGTCCTCCACGAGCCCACCGCGCGTGGCGAGCGCGGGCCGCCCGCAGCCCCTGTTCACCCCCGACGGCAACACCGACGTCAACGCTGCGATCTCCTCGAGGTCGGTCTCGATGCTCAACTTCGGCGTGTGCACGCCTCGGGAGGAGCTGGCGAGCAGCCAGGAGCAGCTGGCGGAGGCGTGCGACGCCCTGGCGGCCGACGTGCCGCAGAGGAGCGGGGTCCTGTCGGCCGAGGAGGCCATGAGCCTCGACCTGCCAAGCATACGGAGAGCCAGCATGCTCTACGCCCCCTGCTGCTGCAGCTGCATGATAGCCCCGATCTCACCACTGCGCTTGGCGATCGACCTGGCCAGCCTGGTGGCGCTCAGCTACGACCTCTTCTCGCTGCCGTACCTCCTTGCGTTCGACGTGCCGCAGGAAGGGGCGGTCCTATACCTCACATATGCCAGCCTTCTTTTCTGGATCGCCGACATGGGGTTCACATTCCGCACCGGAGTGTACAAGGACGGCACCTTGCTCATGGATCCCGTTAAGATCGCCCGACATTATTTCTTCGGGTACTTCTTCCTTGACCTGCTGATCGTTAAAATGGACATCGTTTCCTTGGGCTTCTACCACTGGCAGACGTCGACGAGCGCAAAGCCCGACGCATTCAGATTGGGTCGCATCGTCAAGCTGTCCAGGCTTGTCAGGTGTATGAACGTTGTACGGGTGAAGAGCATCCCGGGCATCATGGAGCGGTTGACCATGGGAAGGAGCTTATTGCACGCCGCGTCGGTGGTTTTGATGGACACCCTGAAGTTTGCCGTGGTAATATTGTGGCTTAACCACGCGATAGCTTGTGGCTGGTACAGTATTGGAATGATGAGAGATAGTAGCGACACTGGCAGGACGTGGCTCGACGAGCCCACAGGAGGGCACCAAGGAGAAATGTATGGTGACTCTGACAACTCCTACCTCTACACCACTAGCCTACATTGGGCGATGACGCAGATGACTCCAGGTTCGATGCAGGTTTTCCCGGTGAACAGTTCGGAGCGCATCTACAATTGCTCTGCATTGATATTCGGGATGTTGGTGTTTTCCACGCTCATCTCTTCGATTTCTTCCACCGTGTCGCAGTTCAAGATGCACATGCATCACAACAACAGCCAACTGGTCACACTGCGCCAGTTCCTTAAGACGCAGAAGATCCGTCCTGAACTTTGCATGCAGGTGGAGAGGCAGGTGACCGAGAAGCTGAAATGGAAGAAGCCCCTGAAGTGGAAGGACGTGAGCGCGCTCGACCTGCTGTCTCTCTCTCTGAGGAGCTCGGTGCAGACGGAGCTCTGCCGCCCCTACTTGCTGCCTCACGTGTATTTCCGCATCATGTTCGAGATGGACGACCTGATGACAGAGGAAATGTGCCGGAGTTGCACGGATTCCCACGTGCACACCAGGGGCGACACCTTGTTCCTTGCGGGCACCGAGGGCGCCGGCATGCACTTCATCAAGAGCGGCAGCCTGTGCTATTCCTGGGGGGATTCTCGCGAGGACGAGGTGCTGGCGGAGGAAGTTGGCGAGGGGAGGTGGCTTGCAGAAGCATCGCTCTGGTGCCAGTGGCGGCACGTCGGCCTCGCCGAGCTGGACTCGGCGGTGTCGTGCGAGGTGATGACTGTCCTGGCCGTCAAGCTGATGGGGCTCCTCCGTCGATGGGGCGGTCCGAACCATCCCATGTCGTGGGCGTACGCGCAGAGCTTCTGCACGTGCCTGGCCAACAGCAGGTACGCCACGGACCTCCATCTGCATTTCGAGCACGCGGAGGTCCTGTCCGCGATGCCGCGCGAGGCCAGGGTCATCAGCGGGCTCCTGGCCATGAAGGCCCTGGACCACGAGAAGCCGGCCCGGCTCACGAGCGAGCAGCTGGCCTCATTGTCGCGGGAGGTGGACAGTGGGCAGAGCTTGTTCATGATGACGGGGACGAAAGTCAAGGTGCACCGCGTCGTGACGAAGGCGGCTCTGCGCTTGTACCGCGAGGACGGGATGCTGCTTGTCTCCGTCGTGGAGAGTGCAGGCGGCGGATCTGCGAAGGCTGCCTTTCAGCTGCCCCAGGTGCTGCCAAGGGACGGGGAGGACATGGCAGCAGCCAGGGAGCGTCTCCTGGAAGAGTCTTTTGGCAAGCTGGGAGAACGCATTGTCCACTGCGCTGCCGCGCACATCCGCCATCACGTATGGGGAAGCTGCGCAGTTGCGCTGCAGCGTAACACGGCGACGGAGATGCATGCTTAGAAGGCTGATGCCGTACTTGTTTTTGAGAGCCTCTTGGGCAGTATTGAAATTGTCTTAGGCAGCCTTGGGGCGAAGTCGGCCATCTCGGTGGCCTTGGCGGCTTGCCTGGGCCGTCTTGAAGTGGACGCCTTGGAGAGTGCCAGGGATGCGTCTGGCAGCCTAGATGGCCTCCAGGGGGGGCACGCAGGGAAGCGCTGGTAGAGGGATGGGGTATAGAAGATTACAGAAACCCTGTCAGGCAGCACTTGGCATTCTAGCACGCCTCAACGTGCCAGGGAGCACGGTGGCGGATGACGGGAAACGCCCTCGAGGAACGAGACGTGCAGACAGCTTTTTATCCCCAAGCAGTGCCTGAAGCCGCAGGGGTCCTCATTCTGCTCCCTGACGGCAGTGGGTGAGTGTGTCGAGGCTTCGGCTGGTGCCCGCCCGTGGGCGGGCAGGCGTGGGCACCTCGTGGGCGCCTCGCGCTCAGGGTGTGTGTGTGTGTGTGTGTGTGTGGGTGTGTGATCCTTCCCTCCCTCCGCCTAATTCAGGCTCCGCGCGGCCCGCTTAGCTTCGACCGGAAGAGGCGCGCCCTCGACCCGCGGATCAAAAAGTGTGTGTGTGTTGTGTGTGTGTGTTGTGTGTGTGTTGTGTGTGCGTGTGTGTGTGTGTGCGTGTGTGTGTGTGTGTGTGTGTGTGTCGGGGGTGCGGGCGCTTCCTGGGCGCCCGCCCGTGGGCGCTCCCTGGGCGCCCCGTGGGCGCCGCGAGCCTTGGGGGGCACGTCGGGTGCTCGGCTGGCGCCGGCCCGTGGGCGCCTCGTGGGCGCCCCGCGCCTGGGGTGCGTGTCGGGCGTCCGGCGGGTGCCCGCCCGTCGGCGCCTCGCGGCCCCCGCGCGGGTGCCGCACAGCTTGCACCGCACAGCTTCCACCAGATGGCTCACAGCACACAGCCTGCACCGCCCGGTTTGCACCACTCTGCACGCACCACATGGCTTGCACCGCCTGGCTCCGACCACGCACGCAGCGCAGACCACATGACTTGCACGGCATGGCTAACCTCACGTAGCTTGCACCGCACGGTTCACACCGTATGGCTCACACCGCACAGCTTGCACAACACAGCGGACACCACATAGCTTACTTCGTACAAGTCGCAAAAGATTGCTCATGCCACATGGCTCACACAGCCTAGCTCACACAACATATCTTACACAGCATAGGCCACGCAACATAGCTTACACCACGTGGCTCACGGCGCATGGACTACACCACTGCGCAATAAGTCATTATTCGGGGCCCACGCTGGCTAACATGAAGGAGCAATTTTCCCTAGCTGAGGGGTCTCGGTTGCACCCCGAAGCTCGCAGGCGGGTTTCTCAAAAGTTGCAGTGTCGCTAGAGACGTCCGGAAACAATTGGCTTCGGAAGGGACTCCGCACCAACATCGTCTTGGACTCGCTCACGATTGGCTCCCCAATTGCACAGACGAGGTCCAGCAGGCTCCCCAGAGGAACCCGAGAGCTCCCACGATCGCCTTAGCATGGCCCCAATGGGCTCCCAAGAGCGCCCAAAGAGACCCCTGGACAACCCAAGATGGCCCAAGAGAGCTCCCAAAGAACTCTAAGACACGCCCGGACAGCCCAAAGAGGCGCCAGAAGCCCCCACGAGGACCCCCTGGGGGTCGCACCCCCCTGGATTGTAGAATACAGAAAGAGATATATGCGTACAACTTTACACAATCATACACATGCGTACATACAGAAATGCATACATGCAACCATACATAACGTCAGGCATCCATACATACATGCATGCGTACATACCTACATGCGTACCTACCTACCTACCCGTTCTACCGACCTACGTTCCGACCTAAATACATACACACAGACATACACAAATGCACACATACACGTATATACACATACGAACATACATCCACACATGCATACGTATATAAATGCACAAATGCGTACGTACATACATACATACATCCATACATCCATACATGCATACATACATCCATACATACATGCATACATACATACATACATGCATGCATGCATGCATACATACATACACATGCATGCACACATACATACAGACATGCACACATGCACAACTACATACAGTTGTACACATAAGCATACATGCGCGCATGCATGCACTTGTCCATCTATGCACACATACAAGCACACACGCATGCATGCACACGTAACGGCATCACTACGCACACTTACATACATCTATACAGCCATACATACGTACATACATGCATGCAGACTTACATGCATAAGTACACACATGCATACAGTCACATACACATACACATATACGTATGTACAAACATGCATGCATACAGACATCCATACATACGTACGTACGTATATACATAGTACATACGTACGTACGCACATACATACATCATACATGTCATGCACATACCTACATACATGCACGTATACATACGTATACATGCATACACCGATTTGCGTGCTGAGTGCAAGGCGCATTTGCCGCGCTACAGGCGCGGTGGAGGATCCTGACAGAGAGCACGGTGCAGGAGGAGCACTCCGACTGCCATCTGCTGGGCATCACCACCAGGACCTTTTACCGTGTTTTCCGCGCCGAGTGGCCTCATCTTTCGGATGACGGGCAGAGCCTTCTGGACTTCGTCGCGCCAATTGTTGCGAAGGTAGTCCCGAAGGCCAGAGCAAGACGTCTCTCGCTTCTTGCTGGGCCCGCGATGTCGCCGCCGAAGAACCACGCCGTGTCGTTCCAGCGGGCATCACCGAAGGGCGCCGGCGGCACCAAGGTCCACTTGCCCGTGGACGTGTTCGAGCTGCCCTCTGGCCACTTGGGTGCCTGGGTGACCGAGGAGCAGTTCGGCCACACTGGCCTTCTGCAGTGGCTTCCAGACCAGCACCCCTATCTCAAGGAGCTGGGCGCGTTTCAACGACAGGGGTCCAGCGGGAGCAGCGTGGCGATCTCCGTGGGTGCCGAGTCGAACGTCAGCGCGTGATCGGCACCACCTCAGCATATGTATACGATTCGTTCGCTCAGAACTTTTTTTTGTGGTATCGTCTCGACGGCGGACGCTTTCTGTCCGCACCGCTCGGGCAACGGCATGCTGGAATAGGTTTTTGTACTGCATGTTCGGGTTCGGACGGTCGCCTCCCAGGGGGGTCGCGTAATACTAGTGTTTCCGTGTGCGTCTCACGTGGGGGTCTCCTCAGCCAGCTCCGGTTGGAGAGAGAGAACAGAACCTTCTACTACCGATCTTGCAGCTATCGAGCAACCTTTGATCACCATATTCTGATGGTCTTCTGTCTCTCTTCCTCCCACGCGAGCCGAACGATTTGCCCCCATCTCTTTTTTTTGTATTTTGATGATTTTCACTCAGGTGCAGCTGCCAAAAGTGTGAGCCAGCATTCTGCTAGTTTCGAGTCCCCAGCATCCTGTCTGATATTGGTTCGGCGTGCATTTCTTCTGTACCCGTCAGCCCTGGTGGCACTACTTACTACGATTGCACGTCTGGGGATTTCCACGATCGGCATGTGGGATCCTGTGTTCCTCGACGTTGCCCTGTCACGCCTCCAGTCTCACATTCATTTCAATGCCGACGGCCGTTCGTCACGGTGCCTTGGCGTCTGCCAGAGGTTGGCGCAGCCCAGCAGCGCCGCCAGTGTGCAGTTTTTCCCCGAGTGGCGGCGGAGTCTCGCGGCGGAGTTTCTACCCAGGCCCTGAGCCCCCGCGACAGAGGCAGGCGAACCCCGAGAGGCACGGAGACGACAGCAGATGCGGTCGGGTGGGCAGACGGGCGGGCAAGAAAGCACTTCAGATTTGTCTCACACTTGTTTTAATCACGTCTTCCCGCTCTCTCTCAATAGGGAGGTAGCGCCGGTGAAACCTCCTGGCGTTGAAGTCCGCGGGAAGGCCGAGCTTAGTCAGCAGCAGGACTTGATAACGATAGATGGTAGTACAAAGTGAGTTTCCCTGCGGTGTTCCTGATTCCTGAGTCCCCCAATGGTTGAGGGCGGGTGGGTCTGCTCTTGTGATCGTGCTATAGACTTTTAGGTGTCGCGACACAACCACGACGACCAGGTCAAGGCCGACCCTCGGGCCACCAGAGGAGAACGCGAACACGACCTGCGACGAAAATCTTGTCCCTGGGATAGCGTCAGGTCGCAGGCGATTTCTCTCCCACTATCCCCGAGTCCCTCCCCCAGCGGCCTGGCCGCTCAGAAAAGAAGGGAAACTGGGAGATGCACCCCCACGGGGCTATTTGGACGCACCCATATCGAGGATGGACGCCCCCCATCGTAGTTATATCCTCCGAGCGGGGCCCAGAATTGTGGGTCCTGCCGAAATGCCGAACAAAGTCGGGGATTGGGGTCAAGTCGTGGCTCAAGCCATTCGGCTGACATCGGCTGATTGGTTCTAGATTGATGTTAAACTGGAGTCTGGCGGCTTCGGCAGTTTCGCACCAGGATATACTAGGATGCCGCCTGGATTCTGGTACTCGGGTTCCTGCCACCGGGTTCGTGGCCGAATCCCCTCCCTGTGATTTCGTCATGTCATTCCTCGGCCCTCTCTCCGCTCGCGCCCTCTTCCTTCCTATTTGTTTTTTGTTGTTGTTTCTCTCTCTCTCTCTCTCTCTTTCTCTCCCCCTTCCTCTCTCTCTCTCTTTCTGTCTCTCCTTCCTCTGTTCCCCCCCTCTCTCTCTATCCCTCCCTCTCTCTGTCTTCCGCGTCGCACGGCGGTGTCTTTCCTTCAGCGGGGGCCCCCTCCCAGTCCAGAGTTGGTGGTGGTGGGGTGGGGGGGACAAACATAGATAACACATAGCATGATAAATACGAATGTGTTGTTTGTTTGTTTTACTCCGACCCCCACGCACACCAGTCGACCACCGTCACCCTCCGCCTCCTCCTGCTCCTTCTCCTCCTCCTCCTTCTCCTCCTCCTCCTCCTCCTCCGCTTCCTCCTCCTCGTCCAGTGGTCCCCTGTGGTGTTTAGTTGGCAACCCTCTTTTGAATGGCTCATATGAAGGACTCCTATATATTTAATTCGGGTGAAGAATACTCAGCAAAGATGCCTTATCCAGGATGCTTGGCAAGACAGTACGTAACAGGGCAAGGCAAAGCATAATGGAGCATTCGGTTCGTTGGCTTGGAGTTTGTAAACTGGCCAGGGGATCCTTGTTACGGGATATGTAGTGGGGAATCCTTGCTAGAGGGTTCCCTCACACAGAACGCGTAATTTGGAATAGTTGTCCCGAATATTTCCACATGGTTTCTGAGTGAGGACTTCTAAATACGTCTAAATACGGGTTCCGAAGTACGTAACTCCTAGTAAGGAGTGGTGTTCTTACATGCGTTCTTATTCAGGGTGCTTGGCAGGGCAGAGCAGGGGTTTCCTTAGTCAGGAAGCTTGGCAGGGCAGAGCGGAGCCTGGAGCAGAGCAGAGCCAGGCACAGCTTGGAGCAGAGCTGTAGGCAGCAGGGCCTAGGGCAGAGCAGGGCAAGGCAGAGCAGAATCGAGCAGTGGGTTCGTGAGCTTCGAGCTGATGAACTGGCCGGGGAATCCGGAGGACTGAAGCTGGAGCGGGGAATCCTCATACGAACGGGCTCCGTCATAGGGAATCTCCAAACAGAAATGATTCCTGGGGAATCCTTCTTCATGGCCTCTTGGGTGGAAACAAGGAGTCCTCGATACGGGCTTCCTTAGTGGGCACCTCCGAGTGCGGAGTGCTGGGTGCGGAAGCCTCGTGCTCGGGAGGCCCAGCAGGGCAGCGCAGGGCCCGGAGCAGCGCGGCGGCTGATTGGAGCCGCGGCGTGCGGTAGCAGGGCCCGGGGCAGGGCAGGGCAGGGCGGAGGGGAGAGGAGCAGTTGCTCGCGGACTTGGAGCGGAGGGGCTGGCCAGGGGATCCCGAGCAGGGGCTCCGACGTGTGCGAGGGGGGGGGGGGAGGTCCACGTGCTTTTGCACGTGTCGTGAGCCGCCGTGCCTGTGGCGTGGCACGAGTCCGCCCTATACAATTGGCTCAGCTGCACGGGATTCGACCTAGAATGGCTGCGGTCGCAGCAACAGCGTTTCACCACCTACCCCAACCACTAGTCCATTCGTAGGCTACACTGTCACTGTGTAAGCTAATTGTTGCAAGTATCGAAGAAGAGAGGGCGCTGCATTAGCCCAACTGACATTCATGGCTTGCTGGCCATCCCCAATCCGTTCACGGAAGGCCGTCGCAAACCCTTCGTTGAGCACGGCATGCGTATTGATGCCACGAAGCGCTTGTTTAATTGGGAAACCTAATGTTGGGTGGTAGCCCGGCGAAAGCCAGCAAACATTGGTTTGCTTAACCAGGGAGCCGACGTTGTGACGACGACCCTGGTTCTGCAGTGCAGCGCGGAGGACTGCGTGAAGCGTGACCGTACTTGCAAAACTGTTTGTCAGATGATCTACAATATTGTCGATAGAAGCCTGGAACAGGCATGGGCTGCTACAGAGCTTAAACACTCGGCTTACATACGCCCGAGGCCAGGACGCATGTATAGGATAGTGATGCGAACTGTTGGCGCCCAGCGGGGGGGGGATAGGGACGCAGGCTTGGGAAAATGAGAAGCATCAAATCTGCCACTCCCGATGCAGATAGATACTTCGAGGTAGCCAGTGGTGCTACGCCCCCACTCCACGGTCAGAGGGTAAAAGAAAGCTGAAGTTCGCAGTTGATTTACAAGTCGCTCTGCCACGGACGCGAGGCCCTGGCCGAGCAATAGAGTGTCATCACGAAATCTGAAATACCCCCTGATCCAGTGATCGTTCAAGGTTTGGGGACGGAGGAGGCGTTGTTCAACCAGGCCTAAGAATGCGCAATCTGCCAGCTCCCCGCTGCGTGGGAGGCCCATCCCTGAGCTGGAGACCACTTGATACACAAGATCTTCCGGGTCGTCCCAGGGGTCCCGCACGAATTGGCCATTGGAGCAAGACACGAGTTATTGCTTCTAACACATTGTAAATAGCATCGCGCGTGTCGAACAATAACAAGACATACGATGTGATTTCGTCAGCGGTGCCATTCAAATAGAAATCTTTCGCATCGACCTTGCAAAAATGCCAAGATGCGCCTGGGCGCAGATCGCGTAGCCTGCCAACTAAATCAGAGGTGTCACGGAGATGGTGGGGAGCGCGCTCGCTGAGTTTATTCCTGAGGACAACAATCAGCCAGGAGCTCAAACCTCCAACCATGAAGGAGGGCGTAGCGTGCATTGGGCGGCAAACTACGTTCCCTGCTAGTTTGTGATCCTTGATAAGAAGCTGCAGGTGGCTGAACAACGTGCATGAGAGGGATCACATTTCATCTTAAGCATCATTCGGGCGGCATGTGGCTGACCGATCTTTTCCGCGACCCTGGTACACAGCCTCCTGTATGATTGCACCAGGTTAGCCAGTAGCCCGTGGGGACCGCAGGGTATGTAGATAGAGGAGCTGATGATCCTGGTCGACATCATGGGTAGGACAGATCTAAGAACGGGTGAAAAGCGACCGTTTTTATCATCAGGCAAGCAGACGTAAGCGCTAGTACGAAGGACCTTCAAACCAAGCCTTTCCAAAGCACAGGTGTTCGAAAAACTGCGATCGCTGTATTGGTGGGACGACTGGGCCTTCCTGACTGCACCTAGGAGCCTCCCCGTCACGGAGGCAAGCCATCGCTCCAGCAGTCCCCATTCAAGGCTCGTGCCAATAGTAGCCTGAGGGGAGAAGCGGGTAACCCGAGAGGAGCGAGGAAGAGGGAAGGATACGTCTTCGTCGTCGGACGGGGACAACTTGAAATACCATGGCCACTTGATCTTATTTACAAATTTAGTGATGTTTGACCGCGCGCGTTCCATGGAAAGCAGACTACGTGATAACAGATGCTTGCGATGCCGTCTTAAAATCAGCCACTTCACTGGCCATGGAATCCTGGGGTCATCAACCATTGACTTTGTGTAAGGGTCGTATCGTTGGACGAGGTGTTGGGCGCCAGTCCGTCCGAGAAGCGTGAGCAGATCCCCTGCTTGCAGTCCCTGGGCAAGGCGGGCCATCTATCTCACTTGCGAAGTGGCCCTTTCCCGAGCTCTCTGTGCTTGCCGCCGCTCTTTTTGCCGAAGCCTTCTCGTTTTTTTGCCGTCCCTGCCTTTCGTCTTGCCCCTGCCCTTGCCGCTGCCTTTGCCCCCTGCCCTCCCCGGGTGGGGCTCCTCTGGGCGTGGCCCTGGCCTCCGCCAGGCTGCGCGCTGCCACGGCGCAGGCTCGGCTCGGACGCCCCCGGCCCCGCGGCCGGGGCGCCCCCACCTTTTGCCGTGGCCCTCTCGCGGAGGCTGGTGGCATCTGGGGCGGCTGCCGCGGCTGAAGGTCCTGGCTCCGTGGGTTCGGCTTCCATGGGGGGCGTGGCTCCCGTCCTGCGCGAGAGCTCACCGTCGATGCGGTCGCCGATGATGATCTCCAGGGGGTTTCCCGGGTCCGCCCTCACAGCGAGTTCCTCCTTCTCCTGCTCCTTGGCCTTCTGGTTCTGTACCTCCTCGTCTTGCTTGGTGGCTTCCTTTGCCGCCGTGTCCACGGCGGGCTTGTGGAGTTCCTCCGCCTTCTGCTGCACTGCACTTTCTGGGATGGTTTCCTACAGCGGCTCGTTGAGCCCTTGGGCGGCCGCATGGTCCTTGTCTTTGGCATCTGTGCCATCGCTGCCCGGTGGGTGGACCCCTTGGGGATGGT